GAATCTTCGCTGCTGTCCGAGATTACCGAGGCATCAGACTGCAGGGCTCACAGCTTCGTGTAGTGTACCTACTGGTACATGTTGGAACCAGAAGGGGTTGCTGCCAAATTTGCTTTCAGGGCGGTGTGGCCATTAGGACCCTTGGACCAGCAGTTTTAGGTTGGTCGTCCACGCTCAGTACTGTAAGGCTCTTAGCAGGGATACTCTACATCGCATGCGTGGAGCTAGAAACGTAATAGTAGATGATGGTCAACTGTTGAGGTAGTCAGAAGCAAGGTGGTGTCGAATCAGTCCCACTCGGTAGCTCCTGCATCAGTTCCTGCTGTTGCCCTTCTGTTGCTGGCTGCGCGCCAATGCTTGGCGCCTAGGTGTGCGGCAACCAGTTCTGCATACGCTTGGATCATATGAGCGATTCTGCTGTGAGCCCAGTATGAACGTGCTGGGCCAAAGTAGTCCGTTGAGCTGATGCCGGCAGGGCTTCGTTGAATGTCGCTGTTCCAAAGTCGACGACAAGCTCTATTATGTTTGTAAAGTGCAGTTGGCGAGTCGGCAACAGACAGCTATCGCTGCTCGTCCAGCGTTTTTCCGGGGGCATGTTGAATTTCTGGTATGCTTCCAGACATCGGTTTGGAGCTTCAGCATCTCGCTTTCGAGGTTTGCAGGTCGAACTGTACAGTTTTCGTGTGCAGGTTTTGGTGGCTTGCCAAGATGGCGGCCGCCTGCAACTGCCGCCCAGGAAGTTTGTGGGATCTAAACGCCAAGTGCGGGCTTATGCCACTCCAGCGTGCCACGAAGCCGCCTTGACATCCAGCTTGCCAGGAAAATGATAGCTGCTCTGGGTTTCTGACATGTCCGACTCAGGCCCCTCAACAGTTCGTACAGACCCTACGCACAGGTTCTGGAACTAATGGAAGTTGCATGCTCAAGTCCAAGCTCTGCGCCAGTTATTTTGAGTTGAAGTCAAGACACTTCATCTATATGAAGGGTGCAGGGCTGGCGCAGGGAAAACAGAGTGTTTGGCAAAGCAGCATGTAGCCCGGGGAATGCCCTGGGTCTCCCCGCAAGGAAGCCACCTGGAACACCTAAAACGAATGCCAAAGCAAAAGCCGAACCCAAGATCAAAATACATTTTTCTCGCGGACTGTCAAAGCCAACTCCGATATGCACACGACGGTGATCCTAGCTTTTGAGGGCGGATGAAGCTCACCACGCCAAAAAACCAACATCTTGGCCTTGACTTCCTAACATCCAAGTTAACACAGTTAACACGTGGCCACACAACGGCCGAGGCCATGTGTCGGGTTGCAGCTGCAGAACGCTGCTGAAAAATGGGCGCAGTGCTTGGCCAGTTTGCTCTTTTTGTTGCAGCTTGCTTGCGATGTGAACAGTGGGGACATGTGGGGACCTGCAATCTCCGTTTCAATTCTTGAGCCAGGATTGCATTCAAGTTTCTGGGAATTAAGTCTAATCATAACTGAAAGTCCAAGCTTGTCAAAGCAACGCAAATTCCACAGAAAGGGACATCCCCTGGACTTCCGATCTTGTAGAATCTTAAGACATCACCATTCTCAAGCTCCATAAGCTTTCATCCTCAATCTCCCAGCACTACTTCCCATTATCCACTCAGCCGGTCGGCCCATGACCACCACTCAGCAGGGGGTCTCATGGCAGGCCAGGATTCGGGCGAAATCAGCTTGGTGTGGTGGGCTTGAAGTGTGTTTTCACAGCTCGTAAAATTGGAGCATTGTAGACGCCGCCCATACTGAAGAATCCTATGCGAAGTCAACGGCTAGCAGAAGGAGATTGATCTACTCAGCTGAGGTTGCTTGGTTTGGGCATTTGATATCCGGGCATCTTTTGCTGCTGTAGATTTTGATAGTTGAGGCAAGGATTCCATTCCAGATTAACTGGCATCAGTAGCGCTCAGAAAAGAGTGGATAGAGGCTGGGCATGAAAAAGAAGGGGATTGTGAATCGCACCGCTGACGGGCTTGCCTTGCAAAAGTGCGGAAATGGCAGTCGATTCCAAGAGTAGCAAGGAGCACTTGTGGGCCCAGAGGATGGCTGGTGGTGCTGGGGAGTCTGCCGCAGGCTAGTGCTATCCTCAAACGAGCCACTGGAACACCCTGATCCCCGAAACCTCACAAGCGCAGGCGGGCCCGTGGATTGTGGAGCCCCGCGGCCTCGAGGTTCTAGGGAACCCAAGGCCTGGAACAGTCGGCAGGTTCCGCTGGTTTGCACAGCTTCCGTGGTTAACATCGGCTAAAGAATGAGTAGTGGGAACTTCTGCTGTAGTGCGGTTGAGATTCAAATTGTTGGGGAATCTGGAACATCAGGGTTCGATACTTTGGAAAGGCACGACATTTCGTTGGTTTTTATAGACGCTAACCTGCTTGTTCTCGTTGCTATACGAATAGTTCGTCTTGAAATTATCAGCTCGCCGCAGCTGTGATTTCACACCAATGGTTTCTTGCGAGCAACAGCCACAAACAGCAACCTTGTCAGCGCTTCAGGAATCTTAAGAAGGGGCTTCTCTGCACTTCTGGCACGCGATGCCTGCAAGAATCAAAACGTCCTGCAGCTTTAGAGGTAAGCTTGGCGCACCTGACTGCCGGACACAGCTTTTGCAGGACGCAATTTTTGGAGGCTCAGGCTGTGCAGAGCCACCTGGGCAAGCGGCCGCAGAAGGAGGACGGGTACATATCTACAGACACAGACAGACAGACAGACAGACAGACAGACAGACAGACAGACAGACAGAGACAGACACAGACAGA